TAATATCACTTAAGCTAGGAGAAGGAAGGTTGAGGATTAAAAAGAAGAATAGGTGTTGAAAGCAATGAGATACTATGGAAAGAGAGGGCTTAGGAGGAGACTGGATTTTCATCATGGTATTTGAGATTGTTTGAGGAGCTTTTGAGTTTAGGATTAGGCCTGTAGGACAGAAATTCCCAATCAGTATAACAGAATAACAGAGTTGGAACGACCCAATCTCAAAATTTCGGTTATATTTTGACCACCAAACAGAAAAAAAAATCTGTGTTCTCAGTTTAGATCAACACCATGGATGGAAAAACAGCCTCCCCGCAAGCAAAAGAAAATCCGTTTGACCTGGATAAGACCTTTGGATCACATCCTGCGAAAGTGCCACGTCTCTATATTTCCAAATTAAAGGTAAAATCACTTTCCTCCTCCTTCCCTCCCTCCAATTTTCGCTTCAATGAATCCCTGAGCTGCATCCCACAAAGGCTACTCTTCTTTCTATCCTGAAATTAAATACCTTCCCATTTTGTCTGCAATAAATCCTCACGGTCACATCCAGTGAAGGCTACACACAGCCTTTCTGTTTCAAAGCTAAGAGCAATCGCTCGGCCACTTTCCTTGGAGAGGTGGAAAATATTCATACGATTCACGCTTAAAATCACAAGGTAAAATCTACACTAGCAAAAAGTCCAAAGTCTAGTAGTGCCTTTCTCAACTAACCAGGGGTGGGCTGCTGGGGGTTCGCAGGGGTTTGGGAGAGACCCTGGCTAAGATTCTGTGCAGTTTGGACAACCCCCCCCCAAATCCCACTCCTGTCTAATTTTTAATTTTTACCATGGGCATTTCACTTACCTGTGGTGGGCCTTTGGAGAGTAAAAATAGTAAAAATGATCTGTCATTTTAGAGTTAGAGTTAGGGTTAGAGTTAAGCCTCTCTGGAAGCCTCTAGCAACTTTCTAGCAACAGTTCCTTTGCCAGCTCACTATTTTATCTCTGTTTCCATCTTAGATATTTCTTGGAGCATTGGCATTTTCTTTTTTTGCCAAAGCTTTTTCAGGAAGCTACATGAAGAGCATGATGACTCAAATCGAGCGGAGATTTGAGATCTCATCGTCTGTGGTTGGCTTGATTGATGGAAGCTTCGAGATAGGTAGGTTGTCTCGTTCTGGGGTGCAGAGGTTACACAGCTTGGCCATAGAACAGAGGTGTCAAACGCAAGGCCTGCGATGTGGTCAGATCTAGCCCATGGGGCCGTCCTGGAAAATGTAAGGGGCCGTCCCACGTCGCTTCAGCCCGTCTACCCAATGCGAGGAGGAAACATGCCAGCAGTTTGGGGGAATGGCGTCAATCTGGCCACGCCCACCCAGTCGGCCATGCCTACCCAGTTGGCCACACCCACCCAGTCGGCCACACCTGCCTGGCCCACCTGAGGTCAACCACAGCTCTGATGCAGTACTCAATGAAATTGAGTTTGACACCCCTGCCATAGAAGATGCTCCTTTGCTAAGAGGGCTGTTCATGTGTCTTCTTCTGATTCAGGAAACTTATTGGTAATGGTTCTGGTGAGTTACCTTGGACCACGGGTTCACCGCCCAAAGGTGATTGCAACAGGTTCTCTAATTATGACCTTGGGATCCTTCCTATCGGTGATGCCACATTTCATCATGGGACAGTAAGTGCAATTTGTTTGGCTCGACTTTCTACCTTGGAAGCTATAGCCAGATCACCTGAGTTAATCTGAGGAACAGTTGGCTTTTGTTTTTGTTGATTCTTTCTCTTTTAGGTGAATTGTGGTGTGACTTTTTGGACGAATCCAGCCTGTTGAATTACTTTCTAATTAAAGACAGCACGTGGTTGTTTTGTTTCTTGGAATAACTCGCTTCCTTATTTTGCAAAAGTCAGTAAATCATAAACGTAACAGGGCAGGATTTGTATAAAATGGTAAAATATGCACAAAGCCCAATCAAGGACTAACCAGAGTTAAAGCAATCAAGTTTCTAGGTCTTTAATACATTTTTAATGGACCTGTTATATTATGAATATATATTATGAATATATAAAAATTATGAATAGAATAGAACAGAACAGAACAGAACAGAACAGAATAGAATAGAATAGAATAGAATAGAATAGAATAGAATAGAATAGAATTCTTCATTTGCCAAGTGTGACTGGAAACACAAGGAATTTGTCTTGGTGCAATTGCTCTCAGTGTACATAAAAAGAAAAGATATATTCATCAAGAATCATACGGTACAACACTTAATGATAGTCATAGAGTACAAATAAGCAATCAAATCATACTAGGAAACAGTCAATATAAATTGTAAGGATGAATTTAACCATACTTCTTTAAAAATTGTTTTTCTATTAATACATTTTAGTGCTTAATAAACCTCAGGTTATCTGGGTATTTAATTTGCTTAACAATACAAATTTATATAATTCTTTATTGACCAAGTGTGATTGGACACACAAGGAATTTGTCTTGGTGCAGATGCTCTCAGTATACATAAAAGAAAAGATACATTTGTCAAGAATTTTACATTCTTACATTCTTAATCTCCACCCCTTTTTTCCAACCATTGGTAAAAATAGATTCCATGTTTGATAATATTCTACATCTTCTTTCTGTTTAATTTTCAATGTCAATCTATCCATTTCTGCACAATCTAGTATCTACCTGACTATCTCTTCATCTCACAGTATATCTTCATTTTTCCACCATTGTGTGAATATAATCCTCGCTGCTGTTTAAGACATGTAATATTAAGTACATACTTTTCTTATCAATTTTTTCTAATATTATACCTAATAAAAACAATTCAGGTTTAAAATCTACATGTTTCCCTATCATCTTTTCTAGCCATCTATGTCTCTTTGATCTTTCCCTTTTTCTTTTGCACAAGTCCACCACGTATGATAAAATTTGCCCATTTTTAGTTACATTTCCAGCATATAAATTTAGCCATACTGAAGCTTCTGTTGAAGATGAATGGATATGGCACATCTCATAGCTTCCATTGTTCTCCAGTGGTCTAGTGATTAAGGCACTAGGCTAGAAAGTGGGAGACCATGAGTTCAAGTCTCCTCTTCACCAAGAAAACCAGCTGGGTGACTTTGGGTAAGTCCCTTTCTCCCTCTCTCTCTCAGCCCAATCCACCTCACAGGGTTGTTGTTGTGGAGAAACTAGGAAGAGGAAGGTATATTGGAAGATAAAAGAGGAAGAGGAAGGTATGCGCACCGCCTTGAGTTATTTGTAAAAACAATAAAGGCAGGATATAAATAAATAAGTAAATAAAAATACTTATTCACTACTTTCAGTTAAGCTATGTTCTACACAGCATAGGAAAGGACTAAGAAATCATCAGCATAAGAAATGAAGGATAGGAACTAAGATACATTATTTTAAGCTCATTAAGTAATATTCAAGTTACACCAACATCATTCACTACTCAGTAGGTCTCCATGTCTTTCTATCCTTGAAAACCATCCTCTCTTTCCCTGTAGTCATACACCACTTCATGGAGTACCTGTGATTCTTTAAACTTCTCACCTCTGCCTTTCTGATGATCTCAACACTCCTTAGGCATGAAGTTCTTGTTCTGCTCCTTTCCTTAAACCATTCGTTCTTGTTTCATATCTTTGTTTATTTGTATCTTGTATGAGAAGTTCCCAGGAGCCCATGTAGAAGAAGATAAACGCTGATTTGAGGTGGTCTCAGCTCAAATTTGAAACCAGTGTCCTATACCATGGCCACCTTTGGATGGATGGATGGATGGATGGATAGCTGATGGATGGATGGATAGATAGATAGATAGTTTAGTTTTATGGATCATATGAATCCATAAGGATCATATGGCTCCTTTAGGGATCATAAAGAATGGTGCCTGTGGAAGGGAGATCAGCATCAGCAAGAAAACGGGTGGTGTGATGCAGCTTCCTTTGAAGATATGTACAATGTCAGCCTATATGCAAATGGGTAGAGGGTTTCTCTTGTCATGCCCATCCTGCCATTTTGACAATTTTAACTCCCCCCCACCATGGATGCTCTTGTTCATGAAAAGCAAATGAACTGGGTTTCTACAACAGTGTGACACATGCATACATAAACCCATATCTACTGTAAGTTTGAAAGTGACCTAGCAAATGCTAGATCTTTAAGTGTATATTCAGCTCTTGTGTAAATATATTCAGCAATGATGTAGACAGTGTGATGAGAGGCCAGAAAGTTGGATCAGGAGCAAATTCTCTATTTTAAACCTTCTCACATACCGCAGAATTTAATTCATTTGATTTCGTTTCTCCTTACAAGCTTCCTGAGAAACTAACGTAGGAGGAAGTTCCAGCTAGTATGCAGAGTAGAACCAAGGGGAACATCAAACTAACATACTTTTTCTATCACAGATCTGTTTGGACATGTTCCATGAGCACAATAATTATGTTTGGTTTTCCTGGGTTTTACATGTGCAGTCAACCCAAACCATGTATCCATCCAACCATCAGTCAGACCCATGGAGAGATAATCTTTCTCAAATAACGATGCAAAGCAAGGTTTAACTTTCTAATCCCATAATCCTGGCTTTTGTTCTGCAGTTACAATTACAAAAGTATCACAGTTTCCTTGGCCAATTCATCTACAAGTGTTTCGGCCTGTGTGTCAGGATCTTCCCAACATTACACTCTTGCCGAAACATCCCACAATGCAACTATGGTTGGTAAGTAAAAAAATTTCCAGCGGCTTTGGGCCTTTGTAGGGGAAGGCGGAGTCTTGCATTTAGCGGGAAAACTATCTGGTGGGAAACTATGGCCCTTTTATGACCTGTGGACTTCAACTCCCAGAATTCCTGAGAATGGCTGGCTCAGGAATTCTGGGAGTTGAAGTCCACCAGTCAAAAAAGGGCCACAGTTCCCCACCTCTGAAAAGAGTGAGCACTCAGGTGTTAAGTATCCACAAGGAAGCCTGGAAAAATTATCTCACTCTTCAGATTTGTAATACTGTAAATCTACTCTTTAGATGGTTCACATGTTGTCCTTGTTTGCCAAGCAATCCATACCATGATTTTCCAGTTTGATCAGGCTTTTTTGGCCCTTACAAATCAAAGTAAACTTTCTTGTTTGGAGTGGGCTCATGAAAAACTCAAGATGTGAAATAAACACTCTTAGGTTTAAGGATGTAATCTGAGAAAGCCCCGGAAGCCATATTGGACTTGATAGGTTTCTTGAATTGAAACAAGCGGGTGAGATTAATTATTTGTCCCTTGAGAGGAATTAGTGCCACTCCTCTAGGCTAAAATAGATGAAACTAAAACATATGAAGAATGGTTGCAGGAAGTGGGTATGTCTTGTTTAATGAAAAGAAGAACTAGGGGCTGTTAGCAATGTTCTGATATCTGAAGGGCTGCCACAAAGAAGAGGGGGTCAATGTATTCTCCAAAGCACCTGAAGGCAAGACAAGAAGCAAAGGATGGAAACTAATCAAGGGGAGAACAAACCGAGAAATAAGGAAAAATTTCCTGACAGAACAAGTAATCAGTGGAATGACTTGCCTCCAAAAATTGTGGGTGCTCCAACACCGGAGGTCTTTAAGAAGAGATTGGACATCCATTTGTCTGAAATGGGTTTCCTGCCTAATCAGGGGGTTGGACTAGAAGACCTCCAAGGTCCCTTTCAATTTTGTTTATACTGTTATTCTCCCCTAGAGTTACTTGTGCCCATTATTGAGGGGGAGAGGAGATGATACTTACTGAGGACTTGCAAGGAAGTTTCTCTCCTGTCATCCATCAAAGCTATCTCAGCTTTCGCAATTATTATCACACTTGCTTGAACAATTTACCCGCGTCACAAGAGCTAGAAATGTGCCTTAGAGTAGACATTGGCTTGCAAGGTTTGGAATCAGTGAAGTTGAACAGGTAGTCCTTGACTTAAAATCATTCATTTTAGTGACTGTTTAAAGTTGCAACAGCACTGAAAAAAAGTGGCTTAACACCAATTCTCACACTTATGACCATCGTGGCATCCTCACAGTCAAAATTCATGTGCTTGACAACTGGCAGAAATTTACAATGGTTGCAGTGTCCCAGGGTCATGTGATCAGCATTTGCAATCTTCACAGCTAGTTTCCAAGAGGCAAAGTCAACGGAGGAGGTTGGGTGAGCTGTGGTGGTGCAGTGGTTAGAATGCAGTACCACAGGCTACTTCTGCTGACTGCCGGCTGACTGCAATTTGGAAGTTCGAATTTCACCAGGCTCAAGGTTGACTCAGCCTTCCATCCTTCTGAGGTGGGTAAAATGAGGACCCAAATTGTTGGGGGCAATAGGCTGACTCTGTAAACAGCTTAGAGAAGGCTGTAAAGCACTATGAAGCGATATATAAGTTGAAGTGCTATTGTTATTCACTTCATAACCATGTGATTCATTTAGCAACTGCAGTGGTTCACTTAACAACTGTGGTTAAAATAAGGTTGTAAATTCGGACGCCACTCACTTAACAAGTGCCTTGCTTAGCAGTGAAAATTCTGGTCCCATTTGTCTTCCTAAGTCAAGGATTACCTGTTCTTTGGAAAGAAAATTGTAATGCTCGGGTAGTATTGTGATCAAGCTGTGGACCTCACAACTTCTTGGGGCACCTTCTGTTTTCAGGATGTGAAAAAATGGCAAGTTCCTACTTGTGGGTCTTTGTGCTTGCTGGGAACCTTCTACGTGGAATTGGAGAAGCCCCTATCATGCCCCTGGGGATGTCTTACATTGATGATTTTGCCACAGAAGAAAACTCTGCCTTTTACATAGGTAAGAATTTGAGTATTACAACTGAGGTGGGACCAATGATATAGCTACTCCAGCCTTCAGACTTCAACTCCCAGAATTCAATTCTGCCCAATGACTGCATTGACTGGGCATTCCGGGAGATGCAATTCCAGCCTGGTTGGAAGGCACCTTTGGGAGAAGAAGGCAGGGTGGGGTGGGGCTCAATTCTTGTCTTTAGTAGGTTCAAATGGTTGAATCCTTGTGATTATTTCATCGCAAGGATCCTAAAGTAAGTCTGCATTAAAAACCATCCATAGAAATTCAACAGAGGGTCAGTAAATTAGTTCTGAGGCACAAACCCCATTTTTCTTGCTGAAAATTTATTTATTTTATTTATTTATTTTTGTCAATTGCTTACAAGATAATAGGAAAAAGTAAAAACATAGTTATGAATACATGGATACATAGAAGAAAAATAAAAGAAAGAATAGGACAGGGATGGTAGGCACGTTGGTGTGCTTATGCACGCCCCCTACAGACCTCTTAGGAAAGGGGTGAGGTCAATAGTAGACAGTCTAAGGTTAAAGTTTTTGGGGTTTGGGGAAGAAACCACAGAGTCAGGTAGAGTATTCCAGACCTTGACCACTCTGTTGCTGAAGTCATATTTCCTGCAATCAAATTTGGTGCAATTAACCTTGAGTTTGTATCTATTTTATTATTTTTTTTTGAACAAATTTTATTAATTTTTAAAGACATACAAAACATAAAAACACAGAAACACAAAACATAAAAGCATAAAAAATCTCTTTTGTGAAAGTTGCTTAGTCCCGGGTTAAAACTCTTGGTACAGACACAAATTCAAATTCATATTCATTTTACATACCATTCCATATCTTATTAGCATTTTCAATTTCTATATAACTTCTCCTCTCTTTTAAATTTTCTCAATTTTATTTTATTTATCTCCTCTCAATTCGAATCATAATATTTATTATTCTTTGTCTGTTCTATTTCCAGCTATCCATTTATCTTTCTTCTTTGAAAAAAACTTCTCCTGTACACTAAATGGAGTATGATGCCTTTATCTCTTTCCCCTATATTTATAATACTTAATATAAAACACATAACTTACATTGGGATTCTGTCTGGTACATTCTAAAATTATACAGTATTATCAAAACCAATACAAATCTATTCATTAATATTGATATTCATTTATATCTTAAACATTTAGCACATTACTTTTCAGTTAAATCACATACTTTTATGGGAGCACCTATTTTCCATAGTTATCCCCCCCCCCCC